TTCCGTCCCTTTCAAGGCCGTGCTCGGTTTGTCAGCGGCCAGCGGCGCCCAGTCGCGGATATGACCCCTGTTGACCCGTCGCGCGGGCTAGATTCATGTTCATTACAGAGTTTTATATGGTACAACGATATGATTGAGGTGGTTTGCGGTAGCTACCCAATTATCTTCCTAGCGAATATCATTCATCACAGCATGGATGATGCTGATGGTTGTATATGTCGGCCGTCGGGTGTCATGTCTACCTATTGTGTGCTGTACTGCTATTATCACCACACACAGAATGAGGTTACTATGAGTAGAAAAAGCTGACAAGTGACAGAATGCTGTATGACGTGAGCGTGAATGCGAAAGTGGTTCTCACGCTTTCTGTGGCGAAGTTTGTGATGTGTAAAGTGAATGGTGCTGAAGGCGCTATGACGGCAGGATTGTGCTTATAACGGCTGTGAATCTGACGTTATTTAGGTACGTCTCTTTGTGACAATGACGACCCGCGTACGTGATAGTGCTTTTAACGATGAACTTCGATATGGGTAACGAACCTGCGTAAAGTTATGAACTTCAGCTATTTTAATTGCTTGTTGATTATTTTAACTGAATTGTAAGGTATACTTGTGTAATTACAATCATACAGCTGATTAATTTGAAATAAGCTTGCTTCCCTTGGGACGGTCCATTGTCCCGTCCCGGTCCGACCGCTGCTGTACCGACCTGGCTGCGTGACCGTTCCGACCGTCCGGTGCTGCCGGGTACGACGGCTGATCCGTCCCGGTCCGTCGGCCCCCAGCCGCCGGTCGTCGACAGTTACCGACAGGAGCGGGAGGGGGAGGGGTCGGCGGGCCACGCCCATAGTCCATCGCCCGTGTCCGTCCGTCCGTCCGTCCGTCCGTCCGTCCGCAGGAGCAGACACAATGGACGGCACTTCCGCGGGGCCTTGTTCCGCGGTATCGAACGGTCTCTGCCCATCCATTAGACCAGCGAAACACTCCGCCGCATAGCTGCGAACTCCAGTCGTCGCGTCACCAAAGACTAGCGACTCGCTTCTGCTGCAGAGTCGCAAACGAGTCGGGTCATTCACGATTCCCCGTCCCCTAGACTGTTGGCTGGTGCCTGTCGTGTAGAGCCGCGGTCTCAGGTCAGGTCACCAGCTCCTCGCCGCCTTGTCAGCACGCGGTTACGTGCGGTATGATCGTATGTTTATTTGTTTATTGAGTTAAACAGTGAACTACTATGCATTTCAGACCCCATGAGACCCTACTTTTCGGCGATAATTTCTTCAATTTTTGTCCAATTAGCTTGAAATTTTGGCAAACGATATTTTAGCTCAAGCGCCAATTTTTGTCAATATGGTCTCTTAACAAAATCTCAAAATTTAGAGCACTTGTCGTTGGCTCGTAATGTTAATCAGTTTCTGCACCCGGATAGAGGCTCGCTCGCTACCGCACCGGATTGGATAGGAGCGCTGGCCAATCACGTTGCGCCGGGCCCAACTAAACTCCGCCCACTGGCCGTGACCGGGAGGGTCTATGCCGCTTCAGTCGGTGTCAGCACCGCGGAGAGGTCGGAGCGGGACCACATTGGCACATACTGGAGACAAGTGAAGCTGGCAAAGTTGTTTCGGGACGAAAGCCAAAAAAAATTATCCGTTTGAGGGCATTTGGTATCCTCTTCACCTTATTTTGGTATTTAAACGTCGAATCAGCTCAGAATATTCAGAATGATCAGAATCAAGGTAGGATCTATTGGAACGGAACCGGCCGTAGAAGGAAAGATGGATAGACTCTTGGACTCTCAACATTTATTTAAGCCGGAGTTGCACCTATCTCATCGTCAGGTTGGGTCAGGTCACTACCCGATTACCTATAAGATCATGTGTAAGCCTGTGCTTAACCCAAAAATATTGATATATTTGGCAGTGCCAATAAATGTTTCTGAGGAAGGCGCAGAAAGCAACAAAGTAGGATGAAGAGTCTCGGGCACGGCCGATTGCCTGGGGAATCGCTCCAGCGAAACAACCGTACTCGTAGGGTAAGGTGCCTAATTAGCGACCCTTTCCGATTTGCGACCTACCTCCCTACGGAAAAACTGGCATGAGAAAACGGGGTAAAAACATCGTCAAAAGGTCAGCCATGCTTTGGTTATCAAACTTAATCATTTTCCGGTCGTCGATGTTTCTGGTGGGACGTTCCAGGTGAGTTTAAATAAAAATGACGAGTTTCTTATCCAAAACGTGTGTGTTTGGGCCCTCTCTGATGAAAAGCGATGCACATTAGGATGATGCACCTTTTTTATTCTGAATCGACATTCCTTTTTTAATTGATTGCCGTTTTCCCATAGTAAATCGCTCAACTGTGCACAGCATGGCGATTAAAAATGTGTCGCAACTCATATTTCCTATTTGCGCCCGACATGGTCGCAAATAGCTCAAGAAGGGAAAGAAAGGGGAAAAGAGAGAAATGAAAATGAGGTGTTCCTGAAGCTTGCAATGTGTGGCAGGGGATGCCAAATATCGTCACTGACTGCAGGGGTGCCGAATTCAGCGCGGACCTCGAATATCATACAAGATAGCCCGCAAAATTTGGGTTTCCGCTTTCTTTTCGCCTTCGGTGCATCACGTGATCAGTTTTTACTTACGTAAATGTGTTGGATAAACGTTCTTGTTCGAGTGATTGAGTGCTTTGCGTATAGGTTACCTTTTTTAGATCATATTTCATCTTTTCAGGCGTCGCATTTTTTGCCATTTTTAATATGGGGAAACCCATAGACTTATTAGCGACCCTCCCCGGTCGCTAATCGGGAAGAGTTCCCTATTAGCGTTTTGTGCAATGGTTTGCCGAAATGCTCACTACAAATAAGTTAGTGAATATTGGGGCAGAAAATGACTATATTTTAATAGAAAAATGAACGATCTCTCCGAAAATCAAGCCAGTAACACAGTGGCACCCACAGAGCGTGAGCAATGACGGTTCAAATTAAGGGGGTCGCTAATTAGGCACCTTACCCTATTCGTGATTCGTGAAGCGGTGCGGGGCGCCGGGTGGGGCAGAAGCGTAATGTGTCGCATGGTAGAAATGGCCTTTATCGCGGTGTCATGTGTGTGTTATATTGTTAAAGGGACTATCCCACCTTTAACATGGGGTTTGAGTTGAGATAGCCAAGTTTGTGGCGAGGTTCAGAAACCACTATCTATCTAGGTTGCAACCCCCGCGGCCTCTTGGTGTTGAAGAAATTCGTTTCCTTCATTTGAAAATGGGCCTTGTACAAGGCCCTATCTTCAACATGGAGCGACCGTTAGTGTGACGTCACCTCGTTTAGTCATTCTGATTTAAATGGGTTTGTTCGTTGAAAAATCGCTTAAAACTTGGTCTGAACTTTGTTGTGGTGCCTACAGAGTAAAAAGAATCAGCTTTATGACAGTAATGTGGCCTGGGGAAGGAGGTAATTTTGGGCTGTGACGTCACATATTTGAGAGTTTGTGTTTGGAATATGGGAAGCCTAAGATGTTTAATGACAAATAAATGCCAGAACCGTGTTCCTGGTCATCCAATCTATAAAGTCGGGCACAATTTAACTGGTTTTAACAACATTTTAGAAGGTGGGATAGTCCCTTTAAGACGTGCACAAAAGGAAATAGCAATGTGGCAGCCTGGCAGGCGGACGTTGGGCACTACACGAGAACGATCATCAATAAACTCGTATCTTTTTTGTAAAACTTAAGTAACAGTAGGTATGTCCTCAATGGTGAGGAAACTATCTCTAGGCTTTTACTTTTCATGTTTGCATTTCAACACACAAGCTCTGGGGGCAAAGTTAGTCTGGCGACCTCCTCAACCTAAGTTGATGATCAAATGGATTAGTCCTGAAGGTGTTCAATGTTTAGTTGCACCGGGATGATATAAATCGATCACGCCGGCATACATTCCTAATCAAATTTCATATATCAAACACATAAATTGCATCATGTTAATGGTGATTCTGTTTTGCAATTACGACGTAGTCTGACGCGATACATAATCTTACGCAATCATTTGAAATCAACAGCGTCTTTTATGCGCGTTTTTCACAAGCCCCGAATCTTGTGTGGAAATATATATTTTTGTGACTGAACAAGGTGTACGTGCATTTGTGATAAATACAAATTCGAGGGCTTCAGCTGGTGCATTACTTATGCGCGCTATTTAGCTCATTCGATGAAGTTACGGCTGCAACGACAACTGCACGGCAGCTACGGTCCATGCGAGCTCCCCGGTGCGACAGCTACTGCCCCGCCCGCTCCACGCAGCCGACTGACCGGCCAAGGTCACTACCCCGTTCGCCGGGAGGGCGGAGCTTAATGGTCACGTGTTTGTGACGTCACACCTACGCACGGATAGCCTCTACTCCACTGACGGATTTACGGAGCCGATTTTAACATTACGAGGCAACGACAAGTACCCTAAAATTTGATATTTTGTTAAGAGACCATATTGGCGAAAATTGGCGCTTGAGCTGAAATGTGTATTGTGAAAATTTGAAGCAAATTGGACAAATATTGAACAAATTATCGCCGAAAATTAGGGTCTCATAGGGTCTGAAATGCATAGTAGTATGAAGACCCAATAATAGACGGAGTCAACTGATCGGCCATAACCGGTATGTCGCGGCCATAACCGGCACAGTCGATATTGGCTCACTTTTTGTCCTAGGCTGCTGTTTATTTTGGGTTCTCTCATATATGGCATGTCTGAGCTTTTTATGGCGAACACTTGTATGGCCACAGAGACGGTCAGCGCCCCGACTGTAGTTGACCTCGGCAAAAACTCGCTGCTTTTTGGGAAGGAACGGTCAGCAAGCGCTGACTTATTAGATGTAGAAGCCAATTATAGTTGCCTAATTTTGGGTGCATTTTTGCGTTTTTTTTTTTTTTAAAGCCCGCAGTAGGGAGTCGTCTGTGCCGTTTGCTGGGAGTGACCACTGAATGGTGAGCCCGTATATTGATGTTTGTATTTGTCGTCTGTCGCCAGGGCCGGCATCCACGGCATCCAGCAGAACCAGCACATCAACTGGCTGTCGGTGGGCTTTTTCGTGTACTCGGCGCTGTTCTCGCTGTCGTACCTCTACTACCCGAACCCGCTGTTTCACCAGGTGAGATCGTTATCAACAGTCGTGTTCAAACAGCTCGTCTTGAGCTCGTCGGTCGTGTTCAATCAGCTCGTCATAAACACTCGTGCTCAATCGTGATTGTGGGTAGGTGGCCGGTGGATTCATGGCATTGTCCGAAACGGAATGGATAAATTGAGAGATTTTGCATCTCGTTATTTGCAGAGTTACTGTAATTATTTTATCTTTTACCGTAGAATGTCGAATACCTGATGAGCTGCGGGACAGTTCAAAAATCGTACTGATTCGATTCAAAGATTATTTTTCCTGTTTCGATCACCGAATGTCCTTAATCCCTCCCATCGCTCTTCGCTAACCAGCGAACGATCGCACTTCTTGCTCCCGTCTCTCTCCCGTGCATTCGGCTCACATCTTCAATAAGAGCGCCGTGACGCCGTCCGGCCTTCGCCGTTGGCATGCCCAATAACGTCGCTCGCCATTTGTCCCCGAGATGACGACATCAGTGACGCTCATCATAACGTCATCCGGGCGAGGCACCCGTGATGTCACCTTTATGAACCGGTAGCTGTCGGGTTTAAATTCACTACCCGCCCACACCATATTTATATTCTAGCGGCAGCTCTCCTTTGCTGTTCACTACACAGTACACAAGTCCTGTCTGGATCTTGCATTTCTGGCCTTCTCCAGCCGCTCTGCTGTTAAGCCAAGTAATCCCTCTTAGCTTGCAGTTACCATAGTCCATAGCAGTGTTGACCGCATCACTGCCCAGTGATAAACGTGCTAAACGAGGTCGTGCTAACCAGGACCGTTGTGCCAACGAACCATGCTAGCCGAGGTCGTGCTAATTGCTAACCAGACCCGCTGTGTTAACCTTGTCCTCCGCGCCATCCTTGCTGACCGCACCACCCATGTCGCCAGGTGAACTATGGCGTAGCGTCTGTGGCCATCACTCTGCTCGACATCAAACTGCTGCGAACACAGAAGGACCGCACCGTGCGCCACCTGTTCTATCTGGGTGTGATGCTGTACGCGCTGGCGTTCGCGCTGTGGAACCTCGACAATCACGGCTGCCAGTCACTAGTGTGAGTGGGGGAGGGGGAAGGAAAGTGGGAGTGGGTTAGGTGAGTTTATGCGGTGGATCTGCTGCGATTTGGCCTTAGGATGCATGAGCTTTTCAGGGTGTGAGTTGAGTTGGCCCAAAATTGCACAGTAGTGTCGGGTTGTTGCGGCGTCGTAGTTATTTCAAGCGAAAAGCCGTACTCCTAAAGCATTATCATACTCCTGCTGCAAAATCATTACCAGCAACTCCTTGTCGCGTAACGCCCGCTTACAACGCAAATCGAGCTCATTTATCAATTATGAGCAGGTGCTTTTAGTGGACAAAGCCCGACCTGTGAAAGGCATAGCGGGCCAGCGCGATGGATCAATGCTGGTGCTCACCCGGCCAGTCCGTTTCCCAGTCCTCGATTTATGGTTTAATGGACGTCAGTGTCGGCGCCGCTGTGGTTTGAGCCCATTCAGGCTCGCTCACCTCAGCTAAACAATGACACTGCGTCGGGTAGTGAGGTCGGGGTGTGAACTGTCAATGCCCGGGCGGGGAGGTATGGTGGCAGACTGATACACTGTTGCAGACTGTGACACACTTACAAACTGACACGCTGTGGCAGACGGACACACTGCAGCAGACTGACACGCTGCAGCAGACTGACACACTGTGGCAGACTGACACGCTGCAGCAGACGGACACACTGTGACAGACTGATACACTGTGACAGACTGTGACGGATTGACGATATGGTGGCCTATTGGTGCCAACCGATGGATTGTGACCAATGCAATGGCTACAGTGTTGGAGCCACCGGCCGACATCCACGACGCTAGCCACTTGTGTGTCCAATAACCAGTAGCAATGAACCATACCAAACGCGCAGGCGTGTATGGTGAGAGGGTTCTGGGCTAAATCAACCAACTAAAGTCGCGTTATCTTTATTTGTGTCATAGATAACATTGGTCATGTTATCTATGTTTGTATGGAAAAAGATAGCTTTTATAAGAAGCTCCTGAAATGAAAGGGATGTCTTAGAAACTGAGTAATTAGGTAGCAAGCAATGGTTTTCCCTCACCCGTAGTGGTCCACACAGAAATTATGCCCCTGTCTGATATCATCCGTCTTTTATCTCCTGATTCTGTTGTCACGACGTTAGCGACTGGTCTTACTCGTCCCGCTTCTTTCATTTGAAGCCATTTTAGCTGATTGCTTAGATTATCGTCTTATTGTGGTATCGCCCGCCCAGACCCGCTCATACAAGGTGAGTTGGCCTCAGGGATGTCTAAAGCCCCTCTCGACTCTCGAGTGATTGGAACAGCTGAACCCGGCAGCTGTGGAAAGACTTAGTTGTCATGGGAACAAGCAACATAACAGTGTCTTGTGAGGCTTTTAGCGAGATGGGCAACTGAATAGAAATGTTGAATCCATCGAACTGCACTTGCTTTTGCTATTGGGCACTTACTCGCTACATGGATTTTTATCGCATATTATGTGCCTCCGACACCTAATTCCAAGCGACCTGTTACCCGGTTGTCAATCATCATCAGGGATATTCTACCCGCTAATTATGTCCGGAGGCCTCAGAACCGCCGAGGAGCCTGGTGATGACTGGTATAACTAACAGTTCCCTCTGTGGCCACCAGGCGTCTCCGCTCGACGCTGCCGCCGGTGCTGCGTCCGTTCACCCAGCTCCACGCGTGGTGGCACATCTTCGCCGGCTACGCCACTTATATCCACATATTGTACTGGTAAGTACCGAGTTCTGCTATCGCTGCATATAGCTAAGGCCTCCCCTCGCATACGGCAGTAGCGCTGAAGTCTCAGTAGGCTCCGTACCGAAGCAGAGATTGCATGATTAGCCAGAGAATCAGGGATTCATTGGTAGCGTGTCTTTGGTTAGTTTTAAGCTGTCGGCTGTCCACGGGTCGCTGCTAAGGTCGTTACCCTTTTGTATTTGGACGGCCGAGCTGGTATCTCGTTTGGCAGCGCTCCAGACGCCCGAGTATTCGCACGTGATAAGACCTGGCACGGGTCCCGGGCCAGGGAGTGACGTCATTGACCTCTGTCGACGCCAGTTTTCCCGTCTGGGAGAGGTGGGCCGCCCCTAGAGGTGGACAGCCGATGGCTAGACAGCCCCAGTGGTAGGCATGCCGGCGAGCTGACCACAGCGCCACCTGTCCCCAGCGTCAAGGCGAGGTACAACATACTTCAGGAGAAAAGTCACATCACTCTGGGCGCGATGGGCTTCACAGTTCGACGACTGCCCACTCACGAGACGAATGGACACGCCAATGGACACATCAATGGCCGTACCGACAACTGCAACAACCACAAACACCTGGACTGACGGGCTACCGCAGCGCTGCCTCTCGGCAGAGCCGTGAACCTGAGCTTCGCTGACTAGTCGGGCGCGGCGCTGGCGGTCGAGCGAACCCCGTTGCCGGCGCTGTGAGTGCTCGGCTTGAGTTGTCGCCTTCTCTGCCACTGTGTGTTCACGTGGCCTGTCGATATCTAGGCGGGTCTCCGTCCCAGGGGTGTCATGTGCGAGCTGCACACTCTACTGCCATCCCGTCATGAGACACCTCACCCTTCGCCTTCCCACACACACCCCAAGTGCCTCGGCGTTTTGTTTTATTACTTGATGCCCTGGTGCGTTTTATTGGGTGGCCCTATGTTATGCGCACAGAGGGCAGCTGATGTATATTTTTGTTGACGTCTATAATGTTTGATCCGACGTTGAAGAAAAGTTGCTTTGTGGAGAAGTATATACATTTAGACATTGTTTTTGCCGCGTTTCATGTGCAAGACAGGAGACATTTCTTCATAACTGAGATTAATAAGACTGGGCTTAGTGACCTTTTTTGGTAATTATCGACAGTATCCGTCGTCCGCATTGTAGGGTGATATGATGGCCTTCCGAAGAGGCAAGGCTCACGAGAAAAACTCCGTTATCCTGGTTATCCACATCTTCTATTAGTTCTTATCCATCAGTGTTATCGTAAAAGCAAACGCCTCGCGCCAAGTTCAATCCCAGGCCAAACACCTGATCTGTACATTCCGGAATCGATTGTATTTTCCGGTTCGGAGTTGGTCTCGCGCACAGGCAGTACAAGAATCGGTTTCAGTCGCACGCTGTCTTGATAAGGCGCCGCGCCCAAAGGGACGGCGGCGCTCTGTGAGGTGTAGACGCGGACGGCGTCGACCGCCGCGACACGCGCACCGGCTGAGATTCATAAAACACACGGAGGGGCGTGGTCGAGGGGCGGGTCCGACGCTGGGGGCCGCCCATACCGGGGAGCAACGGCCAATGACGTGAAGATAACAACTGACACCATGCATACACACACCCGCGCGCGCTCGGTCCTCTCACTCGTCTCACTCGGCCGACTTTCACCAGACGCGACAGCGCTGCGAGTCCGGGGGGCTCATCGGCGAGCCGGGCCGGCAGCCAAAGTCGGCCGCAAACTCGGCCATGTTGGAGATGGGCCCGTTTATGCGAAACCGGTTGGGCACGTGCTCACTGTTGAGCGCCGTGTTGCGCAGATGCTCGACGCGGTCTGCCGAGCACCACACGTTGGCGGCCACCAGCCAGAAGATCTGCTGCGGGCGGAGCGGCAGCGCGCGCGGCCGAGAGCCGGCCGCCCGGTGGTGGCGGCAGTCGGGCAGGCGCTGCGGCGGCGGACCGCTGGCCGCCAGCCGGCGGTAGGCCCGGTACGCCAGCCGCAGACCCCCGCTGTCGGCTATGTTCTCGTCTTGAGTGACGACGCCGTTCAGCTGTAACGAGGAGCGACCGGCCGTGGGAGCACACACACAGACACACACTCATCACACGGATCACATGCATGCCGCTCTGATACATCACAGGCATAAAATAGCACACCGGAGCAGTGTGCTCCGAATCTCGACCGAATCACAAGACCTTAAGTTACCCTTAGCGCTGAAAATAGAATACAAGTGCGTGCATGCGCGTGTACATGGCACGGTTAGGTGTCACAAAAACTAACAGCCAACGACTGGTGAGGCTACGACGCTTGATCTTGGAAAGACCGGACGCGGCTGAGTGCCGCGCGACTCGGCCAGTCGGCCCCCGGCCCCAGAGAGGGGCCGTCCGAGGCCCGCCGGGCTCAGGCGCCCGGGAATACTAGACTCAGCACACACATGCGGACAGACGCACTGGCGCATTCAGGTAGCAAACAGAGGCCACGCACTATGGCGCGCCCATCAGCCTTTCATTCCAACACGTAACAGAGAGGCGGCAACGGCAGCGGCGGCGGGAGCGCCGCCGCCGGCCGAGCCGAAAAGGATAACAACGGGGTGCGCGTGCGGCGAGCGGCGCGGGCCGCCTACCACACTGAACACTTGTGCACGGGGTTCATGTTGGAGCCGGCCGGACAGTTCCAGTCAGCGGCGAACTGCGGCAGGTTGGAGAACGGAATGTTGATGCGCGCCCGCGACGGCGAGTGCGAGTCGGTCAGTATCCGGTTCTTGAGCGACTGTTTCTTGACCACCTGGCACCAGGTGTTGGCGGCCGTGAGCCAGAACATCTGCTGCGGGCTGTACTGGTGCAGGCCGGGCAGCGCCTGCTCGGGCCGGCCGCGCTCCTGCACCAGACGGCCGTAGGCGCGGCGCGCCTCCTTGAGACCGCCGTTGTCTGCGATGTTCTCTCCCTGGGTGATGATGCCGTTGATCTGCGGGGAGGCGCCACGCGCCGTCAGCGCGGCCAGCCAAGCGGGCACACACGGGCAGGGAGGGTAGGGCGCCGCAGGCAGCCTAGCCTACCTGCCAGCCACACACACACACACTGGCCGGCAGCGCGCCCTACTGCGCATGCGGGCAACGAGCAAACTACCGGGCTGAGTAAGTAAGACTGGCAAACGGGTGGCGCAGCGGCGGGAACACACTGACGAGCGGTGAGAGCCCGCCGGTCCGACTGCGAGCGGTTAGGGACAGATTGGCGGGGTGCCTGGCACATACGGCTCTCTATGGAGTTATATTAGCTGGCCACGCGGCTGCTGCGGCGGGCTGGGCCTACAGCGGGGTTCTGTTCGGTGGGACAGTGACAGCGGCTACCAGTGCACTCCCAGCCATCAGAGTCAAATGTATGGATGCCATCTTTCATGAACTCATCCGGCAAATGACAAATTAGCCTCGTCTGTGACTCTAAATAATAATAAAAAAAACACAGGGCAACGTCATAAGACAGCTCATGAACGCACTGGTAACCGCTAGCACTGACACCGAACAGTTTCAGGGTCTAGACAGCAGAAAGTTGGGAGGATGCGTACCTTCATGTCGATCTCCGGCACGGTGTAGTTACCGTACTGGTGGATCATGCACTCGGCTCCCTTCAGGAACCGGCGCTTCGTCTCCGGCTCCCACCAGTCGAGGAGCTCTCCGTTCTTGTCAAACTGACGGCCCTGCAAACACAGAGGATTGACGAGCGTTATATAGCCGAAAAACGAACGCCTAAAATAATAAATCGTATAAATATTCCCAAACGTAAAACGTCTCTCCAAGGCCACGTCCCTCAAGTAAATTCACGACTTTCTTCATTCAGGCATTGACAGCGGTGAAAAAAAAAAATGGAGGCAGGAAACACACATAAGACGGAAATTTACAAGATGGATACTAGACATGAAAAGGATCGTTATTGAAGTCTGGTCTCTTCAGACTGCGTCCACCCGCCCACTAACCGTGTCGTCGAATCCATGGGTGATCTCGTGTCCGATGACGAACCCAATACCTCCGTAGTTCATGTAGTTGGGCCGGTCAAAGTCGTAGAAGATACCCTGCAGGATACCGGCTGGGAACACTGGAAAGGAGACGGACGACGGGGGTGATTAGAAACCGAACGAGTGGCTGACAAGTAGGTACGGACAGCAACGCTTGATGAAGTTAAAACGTAAAATGCAAGACTACATAAATCGCAAAATCTAACTCAAATCCACAAAGCATCCCGAACCAATCAAATGTACCTCATTCTCATGTAAATTGTTCAAACGAGTGGGCGAATAAATGAAATGGGTAATTAATTAACGAATGGTTATACCGTGAGTGTCAGGATTGTCACTACAGTCTTATCTCAAGAGTTCACTTCAATTTTAACGCAAAGGCTGAATGTGAAGTAACTATTGGGATTCATTAGAATTATGAACTCGTGTGCATGAAACGAGCTCGCAAAGACGAGAGCCTTCTGATACCGTCTCGACAGGCGTCAGTCAACTCACTGATGCTGTTCTCGATGGGGCTGTAGTAGGCGTTGACAACAGCCGCTGAGCCGTGCGTGCGCCAGTCGTTCTTGTCGATGGGCTCGCGCAGCTTCTTGAAGGCGTAGTTGGTGCCGAACACGCTCATGTTGATGTTGTTCTCGAAGTAGTGGCTGTCGTCGATGAACAGTCCGTCGTACAGCATGTCCAGCGCGGTGTTGTTGAGGATCTCCTCCGGGTAGGCGATGTGGTAGTTGATCGACTTGGACTTATCCTTGGCGCGCTCCCTGGCGGTGGGCGGGGGAAGCTCTGGTTAGGTCTGGGTTCAGAGTGGGGACACTGACGTACGAGAGAGCGGCAGCTGGTGCTTAGTCGAGGATTAGAGTCTTGGTCCTACGGTAATTTCTATCACACCTTATAGTTTGTGAATCAGACAGCTTCAACCGGCGACAAAAGAGTGCAATAAGCGTTACGGACTGTGGATAAGTAACCGCAGGTTGTTTGAAATGTACGGTTTGAGTAGCCTTGTGAGGGGAGGGTGAATAAAGCTGCAGGTAAAACACGGTCAACATTCGAGCGTGCGCTCGCCCTCACTTGGTCTTGTTGTCCATCCAGGTGATCTCTCCGAGCATGATGTTGAACTCCTGGTGGATGTGTTTCACCATGTCCAGGGCGGCCTGGCGAGCCGACCGGTCAAAGTGGTTCCGCACGTACAGAGAGCCCACGGCCAGACTCAGACTGCGGACAGGAGGCACCGTGTTAGCTATCGGTATGTCTTTACGAAATAATACTTTGTAAACAAGTAATGCGTAAGTGCTTCTTGCAGGGAAAAGGCAATGAAATTGAATCAAAATCATCACTGAACACTAAACCAGTGATATTTTCAAGAATCTTTCCAAGAAAAAGAACGACACGCCAAGTGCTTAGATCTTTTGGATGCCTAAATATCTTGTCAAGTCTAGACTAGATCGCGTCTTTTGCCTGTTGAGAGCCTACCTTCCCATGACGCCCTCGAGGCACTCCTTCCAGCGCGGCTTGCGCTGTGTCTGTCCGGTCAGCTTGGCCGAGAACTCGAGCTGAACATCGCGGGCCTCCTCGGTCAGCATACCGACGGAGCCGTACACGACGCGCCACAGCATGTAGTTGGCCTGCACCCTGTCACACACAGATACATACAGAGAGCGTTAGGCCGAGATCATACACACAGACATCAGGCACTCACACAGAGGCGCATACCTATTTAATAGGTAATTTTATGTAACAATAACCTGCTGTCGTGCTTATAGACTTATAGCGAAATAAGTTGTAAAACTTTCCGAAACTTTCCGAAACCAAACAGTAACACGGACAATCCTTTCCTCGAATGACTTTACCGAAATCTGTGGCAATAATAATGCATATTGTCTACCTCTTGGGTGTCTCCTCGAGCAGTTTGGTGGCCTTCCGCATGTAGTCCGGCACGTCCACAATCACCGGCTCGTCGGCGGTCACCTGGTGACGTCACCAATCACAGTCAGCTGAGCCCAAGGCCCTATATACCTCGATGACTCGGCTGAGCCGAGTCATCGAGAACGGACGCACGACTACGTGTACCAGGCTGAGGTCATGGTCAATGGCATTAGCTGATTTGCCCCGCATTTCGGCGGGTTGGTGAATTGCGAATGTGTCATCACTGGTGCCCTGCATCGTCACCGGAACTGACTCGTTGGGACGCAAAATGGCTGCACTAGTGTACACATTTCTGGCGTTCCACAATGTTGATGTCAATAGGAATGTATACGATTACATAGGACCCACATTGTGCATTGTACGATTTCACCGAAGCCAAACGTTAGTCGTTACATGGCGGGGCTTCATATGACGCCACTACGTAACGCTTCTAATGTTTCATCGATTGTGTCAGTATGTCGCTCATGCTATTTTAGGCCCAAGGCTCGATGTCGCCCCTCCCCCCCCCCTGCCCCATTTGGTGACTTCATAGCACAAGCAATGTGTTGACCAGGTTTCACGCCAAACCGAGCATTGATACACTCCTATCGTTTTCGGAAACTACCACGAATGAGTAACTCACAATGCACGTTCGATATCAGTTTCAAAACGTTGTTCTCGCCGTTTGACAGCATACTAGCCGCCCCTGTCGTCCTTTGTTGCCGGCACGAACCTGGTGTCCGGCGGCGCGCAGCAGGTTGTTGACGTAGTCCACCCATGGGATGCCGGGGGCGAGCTTCGAGACGTCCCCCAGCGTCATCTTGTTGTACAGCTTGGTGATGTTGCGGCGCTCCTCGGCCGGCAGAGAGATCTGACGGGGACCGGTCACAGGTCAGAGGTCAGAAAATGTAGACAGGTCTTCTCCGGTCAAAGGTCACCTTGGGCTAAATTGAGACATGCCTGAGACGATTTTGCCGGGCTCAGTGATACCGTGTAGATACCTGTTTAGCTATCAATTATACAAAAACGACGTGTAAGAATTTTCGTGAGTACTTCATATCCGTAACACTTGAAGGGCAGCTCGTGTCATGCGGCCCGGAAGCCTGTCTATTTTAGTGCTGATTGTTCACTTAGATTTTCAGACGCAATTACCCTTTACACTGGTCTGCAAAATTCGCCAAACATGCCAGGGCCCAGGACAATACTTACAAGTCACATTGTCAACGGATGTGGCTAAAATTGGATCCAGTAAATGCTGAGAACCAAACACGATACGGGCAACCCTAGCCTTTTTGTTCGGAACATGTGCGAACTCGGCTGCCGGTCGAGCTGAATGCCTTCAATGCCAACTCGTTATGAGTTTGTGAATGTCAGAACTGCGACAACTTGGCCAATATATCCGCGGAAGGGGAAGTTGCAACCCAACTTTCCCGACGCCGGAGGCGAGTTGTGTAAGTTTTCCTGCGACGACTGCAGATGGCACTGCTTTCAACAGTGAGCGGTACAAAAAGAGAAACAAGAATCGCTAAAATGCCTTATGTTTGTTGCAGCACGAGTTGCCGAAATTCTCACAAAACACACATCAAACACATCCAACGGTGCTGTCCCTACAATGAAGCAAATAACTGTGCGGTGTTTATGTAGTAAGTAATTTACCGCAGAAACTAGCTGAACATGTGTGTGGAAGGTGTCTATTAAATTACTAACGAGTAACGAGTGACATTTAACCGGACATAGCAGGTCAAAGGGTCCACACTCCAGGACCTCTTCTGACGTCTGTCATAATTAAACTATCGGACAACCTCAGTCATCGATCTCCTTATTCTTTGCGAGGGTGCAGCCCCACAGTAACCGGCGAAGGCCCTTTACCCCGTCCCCAGCCCCAACCCTGCACGGCATGACACTCTACGTGACCTTCAAACACTCCATATTCAGTGTCCAAATGTGACCTGAACATGAACCGTTTGACCTAAATACGCGCGCGGTACTCACGTTGGCCAACTGAATCTCGAAGAGCAGAGACTCCTTCAGCTCGCTCTCTGCGCGCTCCTTGGGGGCACCCAGCATCACGGCCATATCGACCATGTACTTGTAGTAGGCCTGGATGTCGGGGTCGTTGAATCCTGCCGAGTCGGGCCAGACACATCAGTCTCCGGTTTCGGGACGCTATCGATGACTGATGCAAATCGAAACGGGCGGCCTACATTCTCAGCCGTTACATATTGAGAAACATGCATCTGATGCGCCTTTGTCGGGCGAAATCGGCTCATCTCTAAGATCTTCGCTGATTTCCAGAGGACTACTTTGCATTATTTTCATCGAGCATACCTAAACGGGGCGCCAGCTGACCTATCTCCATTCGACGATCAATGCATTGATCACTGCAGCTGGCTGCAATATGCATGCTCCAATGTCAGTTGTGACACCTGCTACTGCGTTTTTTCGATAAATTATTAAAAGTTGAGCTACAACCGCAGTAGTACCTTCAACTTCTTAATAACAGCTGCACGTTTCGCATAATGTTGAAATACCGACAACTTGCAATAGCTAGTAGCTACATAAAGCAACACAATAAACGCTTCACCTTTGCACTAAATAAATGACCTTTCTAAAAGAACAAATCACTCACCCTTGTATGTTTGCTCGCCATTCCAGCTGACAGCGCAATGACAATGACAATGACAGCGCGAAGCGCACGCATACCATTTCCAGCCTTACCGTCCCATATTTCAATCGTTCAGCTCACCTTTGATGAGGTACTTGCGGGGCAGACCGAGCGAGGGCTGGTCCAGGTCCAGGATCCTCCAGGTGGAGTTTTTGACATCGGCAGTCACCGAGAAGTCGAACATGTGGTCGATCGAGTAGCCAAACGCCCGGTTGCGGTAGACGGCCAGCATCCAGTTGCCCCAGCTGGACTCGTTCCAGTTGTCTCCTGGAGCGCGCCGCGGGCGGTTCAAAACATTGTTAGTTCGGTAATGGAGGGACGGTGTCATCGCTGGGGGAGGGGTCACGGAGTACGGGTTCAACTGACCTCGCTGTGCGACCGAATGACAGTACCGCGCAGACGTATTTTTAGAAGGAAGTGAATTTCATAAATGGGGTCTATGTAGCGACATGTCCAGATACCACAGGCGACAGGAACAAGTATTAGACTAGCACGACGTGTATGGTTGAGGGTTCAAGGCCATGTACGTACTGAGTCAATGCATAAATCCCATGGTCTGAATAGTGAATGGACATCTTTCATTTATGAACGAAAGGATTCCTGTCGCTGTGGACTGCCGTGCTGCGTCTAACCCATGTGACGAAAGTAACAGCGAACAGCGCCGCATTCCACTTTCACGTCTTCATAATGTGCCAACGGCTGAGTTTCTCCATAGCCGACGGCCAACCATCATAGATCCCTGGTCTCTCGCGAGTACGTACTAAACCACTCACAATAGACAAAAGGCAACCACATCCCCATGGATCACACATACACACAGACACCTAAACAAGCACACATCAGGCAGCTAGCCGGAGCCACTATAATACGATACCCCCATGCCCTCCCCCATTCTGGATACCGTACACTGATCGGCCACAAACTGGTCAAGGACACCCACCGACGGCGGCTCTGCTCAGTTGATGTCACCGCCAGAAACCCTACCAATGGGAACACGAGTACGCCGCGACGGAATACCAGATATAGCTGATCAACAGCCGTGTCACCTTTCGAGGACATATGCGTCCTTCATTGATGTGGAGCCTATTCATCTCGTTACGATATGTTTGGGCAGAATACAAAGTGTGGCAGTGTTCGCAACGATAGGCCACGCTTGACCTTCAATGCCATTTTCAAAGGTACCATTGTGCAGGTAAGACACGATACGCACAACTGCGCAGTGTATTCGTGAACAGCCGATAAATTTCTGCATCGAAGACAACCGACGCCTGCGTTTCGGTGGTGACAGTGACCGATGCGGCGCCGATCTCTTACCTTCGACCACGGGCCATCCCTCCATCTTCTCCAGGACATCTTGGAGCGGCTTCAGACCGCGCTCCTCGATGACCTCTGGAACAACAAGGGCGGACAGGACGGTCAGAGACGGCCCTGACGACGGCTAAAGACGGAGATGGGGTGTATGAGAGAGAGAGAGAGAGAGAGAGAGAGAGAGAGAGGGAGAGGGAGAGGGAGAGAGATAGACCGGCGGTCTCGTGAGACAGGCTTATAGCCACTTATTAGGCATTAGTAGGATCGAGCTTGTTTATCTCCTCCTATCATCCGGATAACAATGTCTAGCATGAACGGACACAGGGCGAACAACAACAGCCATGGACCAGTGACCACCCACAAATAAAGTGGATCACAGCACTAATCCAGATGGCAGACAACCGCAAAATCTACCACAATCGCGGTTCGGCTCATTTTCCGTCCCATCCGTGTTTCAACTTCCAATCCGTCCCTTCCCACTCAGTTTACAGCCAGGTCGCCCGTAACCGCGAACCGTTGTGTAATCGGCTGAGGTGAACGCGCGTCACATCCCCGAACACAGCCTGCTTCCACCCAGTCACGTTACGTTACGTCACGTGACGTTACTGGTGCGCGACCGTCACAGCAGAGCTGCCTCGTTCCGTCCGGTCTAGTTTGACGCACGGTCAGCATCATGGGGTCATAGTCTGGCTCCGACTGAATGCCATGCTGTGTGACGATGGCTACCCACGGACGACCGACAGCGTTATAGCGCTTTTCCAGACGAATTATCGTGTAAATACGGTCGTTAAATGGATTATGCCAGTGAGACAGTAGGCATTAGCTAAACCGTACATGGTTATAGCGTTGTTCCGTTTAAATAATGCCTCTTGCACGATCTGCGAATAAGCATACCTAAGCCATAATGTGATATGCAGGTTTGTTTAGATCATCCATAGCGCTGGGAGTTTTTCTGTGGATGAAATGCGTGCATGCTGCCCAAATTGCACAACACACACTTCTGAAAAGCTGCTGTGAACATGGGCGCAGGCCGGGCGCGAGTCAGGTGGACCCGGGCCCGGGCTGCCCTGTTCGCTCAGTCTGTCATCAGCTCACGGCGAGCGACGGCCGGCGGCCGGCGGGCTCGCGGATAGCGGTCGGCTACGATAGATGATCGCGGTGGAGACGGTCGGCGGTCACGAACGCCTGGGAACCCACAGCTGCCGCGGGAAAGACGGGAAAAACTTTCCGCACAACAGTGGCGTCGTTCCACATCTTCTCCAATCGAGATCCATAGAGGGAGAGAGCGGAGCATCAGCTACTGCATGTTGTGCGGAGGAGCGGTCGCCCGTCATTTCCCCTCTGCATGACTATCTGAGTAGAGAGAGAGAGAGAGAGAGAGAGAGAGAGAGAGAGAGAGAGAGAGAGAGAGAGAGAGAGAGAGAGAGAGAGAGAGAGAGAGAGAGAGAGAGCGAGAAAGAGAGAGAGAGAGAGAGAGAGAGAGAGAGAGAGAGAGAGAGAGAGAGAGAGAGAGAGAGAGAGAGAGAGAGAGAGAGAGAGAGAGCGGTGGAGTACACTGCCGCTCGACATTCGATAGTTGTGGCTAGAGTCGGACGGTAGAGCAGGCCAGAGTATGGAGCTGGTAGGGGTCGTTCGTCCCGGACATCAAACCCAGCCTATTCGACGGTGAACTCTTCCTAACGATCAGGTAGACGCCTCGCTTCCCCATACTTATAAACGACTTATGTTGCAGATTGAATAAAACTACGGAGTGACTTGCAATATGTAAAACAAATGCGGGACATACTGACCAATTTAGCCTTCAACTGCGCAGTTTTGAGCACATGGGGTCCCTATACCTAATTACGGTCATTGAGCATCATTGCACTGGTCACGGTCTGCGGGCTCTTGCACTGCCATAACAACCGATTTAGGCTGGATCGCCCCAGCCTCGGTGGTAGCGTACCTACCTTACATTTGTGCGGAGTTTAACGAGCGCCCTACATGAAGGACGGTTACCGACTGTAAGTGGGGCACACGCGTTAGCCATTTGTGCCAGTGTGGACTGTTCATAGCTTACTAGAGTGCCAAAAGCTGTCTGTTGTATGTGTTTTTCTGCTGAAGAAGGCGGGTTTAGTGATACTGCCAGCATCTGGTATTACCGGAAAACAAAAAGAAGCAATTTAGATTAAGTGATTTCATCAAATGAATCAAACGTGGTCCCTATAATGAGATCCTAAACATAGCCTCAGAGCGAATAAAAGCGAAGTGGAAGAGTCCCCAGAAATGCCATTACTGTCGCGTTGTGACCCAGCTAGCCAGGCCCGTATCAGTACGATCTTATGACAGTCATAAGCACATAAGGCGGTATATTAGCTTTGTCAAAAGACGACAGGCCCTATTCCCTATCGCCGTTCAAAATAGCATCGCGCCCAAAACCGTAATTGGTGTCCTGATAGCGGGAGTCTAGCCCTTATTATAGCTACATGGTCGGTAACTTAGCTATAGCACGGTATTCGCTAGAGCTCGCCCTCTTTTTCCAGTGCTAAGTAAGCTGCCTAGCACGGCCGGCTGTCGTCCGTGATACTGTGCCGTCATACATCGCTGATTGATAGGCTGTACCGCCGAGCACGGCCGCCTGAATGTATACTGCGCCGCACGGCTCGGCCGCCTGAATGTATACTGTTCCGCACGGCTCGGCCGCCTGAATGTAGACTGTTCCGCACGGCTCGGCCGCCTGAATGTATACTGTTCCGCACGGCTCGGCCGCCTAAATGTATACTGCGCCGCACGGCTCGGCCGCCTGAATGTATACTGTACCGCAAGGCTCGGCCGCCTGAAGGTAAACTGTTCCGCACGGCTCGAACGATATCTCAGGGGACGAAGGGGACAGGAAAAGTCAATCGGGGGCCGGGGCAAAGGAATTAATTAATTAATGGCACCAGCAATTTGAATAGCTGGTAGATGTTACTATTGTTGTATCGAGTGAATGGTGATGCCTGACAACGTTCCAAGTTACCTTATCCCTAACAAGTTAGATAATTGCTTCGTCCGCTTATGGCAAAAGTTCGTCTGAAAATCTCATGAATTACATAACGCGCAATTTGAGACACTCCATTTAGCGCCGACATGTCGGCATTGCTATTGATTTGGCTGCCGGCCACGCCGCTGCACGAGGGCCATGCAGTGTGCCGGACAGTTCGTCGGGCGCCGGTCAAAGTTGACCGGAAATCTCAAGGTTCAGAGAATGCTATAAACAGTGCCGTCATACCCTGTCACCCTCACAACCCGACCATCCATCAAACGTATATCATCTCCCGACTATTACTGAGATTATTGAGAAGGTTAGAATACGAGCGATCCGATCATTTCTCTTCCAAATACCCAAAATAAATCACCTCGGACCTAGCGTTTTGTTGCAAACTTGTTGAGCTCGCATGAACTGATCAGGATGTAGGCATTAGGTACGCTGTTCATTGAAAGTGATTTTATTTTCGGTTCAGTAAACTGTGCTCTGTTTTGGTCGTGCTGCTCTGTTGTGATCGTGGTTTTAGCGTCGGGAGAGTGGGAAGGAATGAGTGGGATATCCCGACTTTCACTTTCGCTCTCTATCAGCCGACAGGCGAGACCGAGCGGTGACCTGCCGCTGTGCGGTAGTTCAACCGTCTCTCAGAGAGAGGGGGAGAGAGAGTCGCATCCACACGATGACATGACGGGAAGTATGGGACGGTCATTCAGTGAGAAAGTGCGAGTCGGCACGTCCCGTCCGATCAGTGACCTTCACACCACACGCACGGCGTGGTGATCCGTGACCCCCCAGCGCGTGTTTCCGCGGCGCTTATGAAGTTACAGGCCCGGCACGTCGGCGCTCCGCTCACGCCCGGCGCGTGCCTAATCAGACGACAGGCCCGTGCGCGCCTGCGTGCCTGTACCGTGGCGTGACACCTTCACCGACGAAAAACCGTCCAAGTTCACCCCTGCTGGCGCGCCTAGCGACCGGCAGTGCCTGCCCGCCTGTTTATCCAGCTCAGACCTGCGTGACTGAACCCTCACAGACGGATGTGCGCTACACACTGCGTTACGCCGCTAGTGACGGCCGCCACCTACCTTTCTCCTTGCAGCTGACGAAAAGGTTCTTGATGTGGCGCGATGAGGCCGGCTCATCGGTGGCCACTGGAGCCTCCACCAGTTTACGCATCTTAATCTTGAGCGCGTCCGAAACGACCGAGAACTGAGAGACGGACGTCTTCTCGCTGGGGATGACGGTGTTCTTGATGAACGATCCGCAGGCGAACTGGTAGAAGTCGTCGCACGGGTTCACCTGCTCGTCCATGTTGTTCAGAATGGAACATGCTGCAACCCGGGTGGCAAGGTCAGCTCATTATATTCACCACCATGGTCAAATTCGGTTGTGGGAAGTCCGGGGAAGTCCTTGTTCTGACCCCGTCCAATTATACGGGGATTTCGAGTACACACTTCAGGCGTATTCTAATTTCTTAGTTCAATCGAAACAACTGTTTTTTGCATCTCCCTGAAAACGACTTACTCTCCTTAGTTATTCACCCCGGGCATTCCCGTCCCCCTTCCCCCAGCTTCCATCCCCGTCCTCAGCCCTGACTGACCTGCCTGCACACATCCCTTTGTGAGACAGATGTCCTGGGCACCGGCGCTGCGTCCGGCGGCCTGTTGTGAGACGCTGTCGGCTGCGGAGATAGATCGTCGGACGATCACGTGGTCGTCCGAGCTACCTGTGCCTGCTGAGGGGCGACGTGCAGAGAGAAGAGAGAGAGAAAGATAGAGAGAAAGAGAGGCGGAGAGAGACGCCAGGTTAGCGCAGGCAGTGCTGGTGCGGACGACACACGGGCGGGTCGGTGTCAGGGTGTCAGCGAGTCAGTGTCAGGGTGTCATGGCCAGGTCAGACCCTGCCTGGATCGGGGTCGCCCTTCTAACGGTGTTGGCTGGTCCGATAAAAAGACTACCGGGAGCCGCGCGCCGATTAGGGTCACCACGAGCGGAGCTGCGCGGCGGCACCAGTCCGGTCTGAGTGGACCGGCGCGGCGGTCAAGGCCCGAGCGGCCGCCTGAATGACACGTGCGCCCCATCTTGCAGCAGATTTACTAGTCACGGATGAGTTGGCCAGATTGGAGGCCAAGCAGACGCGACTTTGTTTACGTACCGCACCCACGGTACTGCAACTTTAGCACTAGGTAATCTCATGACACTAATCCTAGCATAAACTCTGATTGGGGTATCACGACAACTGGACTGAGAACATGTAAGCAGCCTGGGTGCGGCCCGCACGAGACGCTGAGCTGTCGTCCCCGCTCAGCACGTGAGGGCCTCCCCCGGTTTCTCCCTCGGTCCCTCCCTCCGTCCCAGCTCGGCCTCAGACAGTCAGTCAAGAGGTGGAGGGTCCGTTACCAGGCGCCGGGCGCTGACCTCGGGTCACGCGCGCCGGCCATGCACGGGAAGGGTCACCGACACCGATACAGAGGTCAAAGCACATGCGGAAGGCGATATCAGAGGCAGTGGACAGTGATAGACCGACCGACGGTATAGTGCTACACACCAACACCATCTAACCGGTTCTCAAAAGCGACGGTCATGCGGTCTGTGACTGTCCAGGAATGTGGGTCACTGGCACAAATGGCGTGCCTGTCATCTATGGTGAGGCACGCGCTAAGCCCACCAACCGTCGATCATATTCCCTATTTTAGGCAGCGAGTGCCGACAGGTTCGATGATGGGTCTCACAGATCGGGTCGGCCTGTCGCTAAAACACGCGGTGACTGACAGCATGAGTCGCGATTAGCCGGGGAATGACGTCACGAAAACCAGTGATCGCTCGTTGCAAACTCGGCGGATGAACGCTGAATCAACGGTTTCAGCAGCGCAGCGCGGACGTGGCAGTGACAGGACTGAATACTGCGCGGCTGTGCAAGCGCGATAGCCGTCAAACGCCTGTATTATGAAGTGTATGAACCTTGGCTCGGCGCTATAAACTGTCATCGACCTGACACAATGGTCGACATGACAGCAGTGCTGTATGGCAAGGGGTCATAATCGAAAACTGCCATTTGGAGGCCCGAGACTGGAGTTATAATTTACCGACTAAATCGTCTGCGGCCTTGTGCGTAATTTATACTATAGATTAAGAACATTTTTACAGTTGAAGTTCTCTTTCCTGTTGCTCGGAAAGTCACGGGCCAGTCATAGATAGGTCACGTAAGGTCGCATCAAGTCAGTCGGCAAGATACCATCACCACATTAGCATGCAGGCATGTGCGTAGATAATATGCACGGTGCGGCACAGAAGTGCCAACAGCATACGCCAATGGCGCCACTATATACACAGAAAGATAGACGGAAGAGAAACGAGAGAGAAAGAGGCACGCCCCTCGCGGGACACAAGTGACCGGTTGTCCATTTGGGTCACACAGTTATTGAAAAGGAGATATCGAGACAAGCGGCAGACGGCTTTTTGAGTACCTTCTGAGTTTGAACGTTGATGATTGATCACGAGGAATTTTAGTTCGTTTTTTTATTTTTAATAATGGAGTACAACAGCCCGATTAAACGGGCATTTTTTAGCAGCAAGCAATAAAACGTTGTAGATTTTCTATTTTCGGAATGCTCAACTCAGCGTCGTGCTCGATATCTCCTTGTACAGAAAAATTAGACAGCAAATGAAGAAAAGTTCTTCGTAGTAACAAAACATTCTACAAAACTTTATGTGACTTGTTAACCAAAGAAAAATAGAATAAGAGGTCGATACGAGGACAGTAACTGATTTACGATCAGAAACTGATTAAACTGATTTCCATAAAATCAGTAAAAAACAGCAAGTCTTTTAAAAAGGTACGTTTATCTTTACGTTACGAATGTTCAACCACTATTCGCGTTACTTTTTATTTGAATGAATTTCGAATGAAGAAAGCCAAAACGTTCATTTATTTCTAGGATATTAACAAATATGTTTCGTGTTTTGTCGAAACGAAGAACGTAATTGTACGAGAAAATGGAAAATAAACTCGTGATATGATAAAGTAAACAAAAGAAATCAAACAGATATCACACTGCAATTATTATACACAGCATAAGAATTACCACAAAACCTGCATCACGACTCTTATGAGTCGTTGTAAAACAAATCATCCAAAAAATGCAGATAGTACTGTCAAGAACACCACCACCGTATCTTATGTGATACTTTGTGAAGCCTCATTAGAGCAGACACAAGAAGGGGCCAGCTCGCCGGGTGTTCCATACGGGGCTGGTGGGACAGCACGGGGACGGTTTGCCGGTTGAGGGGCTGCTCAGGCCCGTCCATCAGCTCGGGAAGCTAGTGGGACAGCACGGGGTACGCGCTGCCGGCTGAGTGGCGGCTCAGGACCGTCCGTCAGCTCACTCACGTGTCGACGAGACGGCTACCAAGAGGACGGCCACGGCCAGTCCGACGGCCATCAGTCCGAGCACCGAGGCCAGCAGCGACAGCCGTCTCTCCAGGCCGGAGCGACGCGCCCACCATGACCCCGACCTGCCGAGAGAAGGAAGGGAGACAGGGGTCAAATCGCATCCAGAAATGCAGACATTGTGGTTATAAACAGAAGAGATGTCGAGATGTCGAGCCGTTGACTTGTACGGAAATTCATCGAAAGTTTCCAGTTTTTTTAACTTCCTAAATTGAGGGATTACCTACCTTCCTACCTAGGAACAGTTTACTAGTAAATGCAACAGCAAAGCTTCTTTTAAAATCGAAGTAATTGTCGATACAAAATTACCACTTCGTTTTTCGCTCTGGAGATCCTTTTATGAAAGCTGCTGGCGGAATGGCATTATAATAGCGGTGAAATTGCGAATTGGTCTTAGCTCAGTTCACGAAGTTTTGAGTTTTCTCGATTTACATCCAAAAGAAAGCAATTTACAATGCCAATAAATATAGCCGTAATAGCAGGTTACAAGCAGTTACCGTATAGGTAATAGCAGATTGATATAGCCGTAAGATACAAGCACGCGACGTCTTACCTTTTCTTGGGGTAAATTGGCAACCTAAGAAATATATGAGAGCTTAGAGCGATTTGTTAGCACCTTATAAGCATCGGTAAGAAATGCACTGTTCCGCTTAATTCCAAATGCGTCAGGAAAAATGATTGATCGACATTACGTTTTCCTATTCACTCGTGTGCGTTAATCAGTCAATAACTTGCTTTAATTTGTGAATAAAATGGATTGTTAAAATATTTGTGCATAAATAATGCATGAAATGATTATATAACTGCGTCGTGGTTCGCAAAGTTCGTCACTGAAAATAATCGTGACGAATCATCTGTGAAATACGGCCAATGATCCACGTGAGATTCATGGGGACATGCTTTCACGGACTTTGCACAGTTTTCAGCTATTCGCAACGACTTCGGTCTCGGATTTGTCGATAAAATCTAAGCGAGCAATATCGGGACATGCCCAGTGCCTACAAAGCCACAATGTGCTTCAGATGAGTGTACCTATATGGCTTACTTTCATGCATGCACGGTACGCTGGCATAGGCCCAGCCCAGGCATGTAGGTAATGCAGTCGCATTAGTAATCTGTCATGCGGGATACTTTCGCAAAGCTTAGGTCGTCGATACAAGATCAGTCGTTCTCGTTACGAAGTTGACCTTACGTAATCGTTTAGTTTCTGGAACTCCTGGGTAGAATTAATCCGTAACTTATGATCAGTGCATACCTTAGAATCAAAATGAGTAAATCGGCTGCTAGGTAGAGTTTGTATGCCTAGACTCTCTCAGCCCATGCTTGAGATAAGTATGAAGAAACGTGTCTAGGAACGTGCTCCCAAGCATGACTGGCACTTTGGCACGTGCAAGGATAAGCCAGACAAAAGGACACATTCAGCAAGAATAGAAGGTGTGGCACAATGAGGAGTATTATGGCTGTACCGGAACTAAACAGTACGATGACCACAAACACACCTAAGCTGTAAACGTTTGCCAGGAAGGCAGATGCTGCATTTTCTTCGAACCTATGTTTTCAAAAGAAATCTTTAAAAAATGTGTGCAACAAGCTTGTAAAAACGTGTGCCTATGCTTGCAACTTATAGGGATCCGCTCCATTCTGTGTCTGCTCAACTTTGAAATATTTTTGTTTTGCTTGTGAAATGTGAAGAATAAAAGCTGATTGCCCTATTTTTGGGCTTGGCAGTGGCACATGCATTCGCAACCGACGATATCAAACAAGTTAGACCTAACCTGGGCGTGCGATGCTAGTGCACTCAACGATGCACATAAAATGAATTATGTTCCTGAATGTATAGCTGCTTATTAGGCATTCAATGTACAATGTGCTTAAACGAGGGAGCATTAGTCTTAAATGCCTACGTTTCGAATTGTATGCGATTTAGATAGAAAAACCTTCAACTCATACACAATACACAATACACATGGTACCCGCGCCACCCAAGTTGGACTCGTGATCTGGTGGGCTGTCCCATGCCGGGCTGTCCCTGCATGCCCTTGTTTGGCCTTACAAGCCGTGCCCCCGACCTCCCTCCCCCCCCCCGCCCACTACCAGGCTTGGCCTACTGACATTACATATACACATACATGCACACACGCGTCCGGACACGCCAGTGCCTCACCCACAGCTTTATATAAATATAGACCAACAGTCTATCTCTACCCGTTCTCTGAAATAAGTGCCGTTCAGAAGACGTTTCTGGCTTGGCATCGCGACAGATTTCATGGAAACGTTGTGTTTCACTGGACCTGGAACGTGTTTTTCTGAAGCGGGCTTTCCAACGCCACCTTTCGAATCGGCAGTCGCGTCAATCAGCACCTTCCTCCTCACGCGGCTCAGACCCCGGCCAACGACAACATGAACGATGAAACGTGGTCTTGACACGTTTTCCATGGCATTTGGGACGGGCGGCCAGAATAGCGCTCCGCCCACCGGGCTGGCTTCCGAACGTGCGTCGTTCACTGGACGACCACGGGAAAACACGATGATACCTACTGCAAAATTTCGGAGAGGCTGAGTTAACTTTCAGCAATGATCAAACGCATGGCATGAATGTTCCATGGACAACGCGAAAGGGATTGTGCTTTTAGACATTGCCAGCGCATGGATGTCTTCTGATGTCGCAGAGTTACACATCCATTACGTGAATGCAAGGACTTAAAAAGAGGAGCCGACTCTTTACAGTTTACTAGTCATTCGCTCACGCCTGACCGTCCTGGCAATGGCCGTAGTAGCTCACCTGAGTAGCCCAGCACAGCTCCATGCGCCCTTCTCCGGCTGTATGAGTGGCGCACTCAGCTCATCACTGGCGGCTGCCTCCATGGTGCCTCAGGCCGCACCCCGGCCGCACCCCGCTCACTGCCGCTCAGCCGCGGCCGAACCCGGCGCGCGCGCCGCACCAATTATCTCATCTCGCGCGCGGCGGCACGCGCGGCAACAGCACTCTTCCCGCGCCGACCAACTGGCAATCTCCGGCGACATCAATTGGCTGTCATTCTGCGGTGTGAGCTCGGCCGAGCGCCGCGCGCCGCCTGTCGGCCGCGCCGAACCGGCTCACATATAAACAGGACGGTCGTCGCGGACCGCGATTGGTGGAGACCCAGAGCGGGCCTGCTGTGGTCGCGACAGTCCTCCCGCAGATGGGTCCTCTCGGCTGGGGGTCGGCGCCGGGCGCGGCAGCGCTGGTCAGTCCGTCCGCACTGACAGCAGTGTGAGGGAAACTCGGAGGATCTTTCGTAGTCACGACGGATCGCGGGCTGATCGGAGACCGATCGCTCGCCAGAACTTCGACCCAGGCAACAGAGCGATAGAACGTTCCCGTCTGTTCGGGTCTCAGGCCGTATACATCACAGTGCATGCACTCGCAATCCTCGCCCTATGGATGTTAAATGAGCTGTAAGGGGGTGCGACAGGATGCTGACTCCAGCGCCCGTCAGCAGGTCTCGAGCTGCTCAGGTGGCTGCTGCGGTCAGCGGTGGGCGCCGCCTGCCGCCGTGGCCTCACTCTCCGAATGAGAGGCGCTCCCGGAGAGGCACCGAGCTGGTCGGACTGAGGATCAGCAGATCGAGATCACCTGTCTGTCGGTGGCTGGAGCCGACTAAAGATTCGAACTTCGAAGTGTCTTTAACTTTCGCAGAATCCTAAAATTTTCCACCTTTTTTTGGTTCCTCCACAGGGATCCTTCACGCCCGAAAACCGCACGTTCCCAGTTCCACCGGCCACAGCCCCTTCTTTCTGAGTGTTCCCTCCCATGGATGCATTCCTGCTATATAGTTCAAGCAGCACCGTTCTCTGGGTGGTCCCATACCGCTGTGAATAGCGGTATTCTCTGCATCTCAGCGCAGGCAAACCGGTGCTCTTAGCTGTACCCATGCGAAGCAGTATAGTGTTTTGGAAGAGATTGGAATGCACGACTAAAGGATGCCGACCAGATGGTCAAAGATGCCGTAATTGCACATAACCGCAGACTGAGTAAGCAGGTGGAGAGGCTATTATCTGGCATGAGATAGTTATAAATGAAAATTTAGTTTTAGGATTTTAGGCACCCCACGTTCTTAGAACTGTGAGCAGTCGGTGTCAGTCGCCACAACTGTTGCCAAGTGCCGACAACTTCTCACGGGCGACCGCCTACCGTTAGTCGTGGTCACGCGTCACCAGTCCATTCTTAGCCGTCTACCATTTCTCGTCAGTCACGCGTCACGTCATGCTTCACGCGTGACGCTTCACTTGCGTCACACGCCTATCGTCATAGCCCTGAGCTTTGGTCGGACTACAGCCGTCAACCATCGGCTGCCTAACGTCAGCGGGCAATAGTCCACGGTCAGCCGTTTGCATCAGCAGTTTTCATCAGCCGTAAGCCTTCCATTCCATCGACAGTCTGCTGACTAGTAGGCAGCCGTGAACCGTCAGCCTATCATAACGTCAGCTGAGATAATCCACCGTCAATTAGGTATAATCCGGTACAACCTACCGCCGCGCCTACCGCTCACCGTCAGGTATTAGTGCGTTCCTCGTCCACTGCCCATCGTCAACCGTCCTCCGTCTCATTCCACTGTCCAGTGTCCACCGTCCACTGTCAGCTGACAGCTCAGTCGCGTCTCCATCCGTCCGCGGTCGCTGCTCGTTCTCTGCTGATTGTCAGGCGGCTGGACAATGCGCCGTGTGACACGCATGACGCCTGCTCGGCGGCAGACAGAGTCGCCAGGAATGTCAGACGCGCTAACATAAACACCTGATGATGACAGCTCGGACATTCCCTAGACTGGACAGCGCCGAGCTGTCAGACAGCTGAAATATGTAGTAAATCGTGGCGCGCCCGCACAGGCCAATGGTGGCAGCCAGTCAGGGCCTAGATCAACAGCGGCGACCTCTCTGCTAAAAGGCCCACTTAAAAGCCACTGTCAGATTCCAGAGCTAATGCATGCAATGATGGATTGGCTAAGAGGATTCTTAATGCGGGGAATGGGGATTATATTCAAACACTTAAAGTTGGACGGTCGAAATAAGCTAGCTAAAATTCAGGCAAACAAAAATATATTTTGAATCTATTCACGTATTCTTGAATCATATAACCTGAGCTGCTTAATTGTTATATAGAAAGGTGTATAATCATTGTTATGATTTCTTTCCACGAAATCCTTTCCCACAAAATTAAGGAGTACGTTGAAGCAAGATCATGCAAAAAAGGCCATTTATATACACCACGGGGAAAAGCTGAGAAAGTCGTGCAGCGCATCTGACGCAGATGCAAAGCTTGGGTAAAAGTAAGCCATATATGGTCGGCATGCCTTCATACATTTGAGGAAGTACCTACCTAAAGATAAGGCTTTCGAGATTTCATTAAGATTTCACATTCATTTGCAAAGCGGATAAAATGTTTTGAAGATATATGCAACACTTAATTTGTTACGACTTATTTAGCCAACTGGAGATGGACTGTGCCATGCTAGTCATATAGTCCGACGTTCGTTTGTTTTGCGGGACGGCTTTGATGAAGCGCAATATACAGGCGCTATGTCAACTTAGGCAGCTGAAGTGTTTACAGTCCCGCAGAGTGGCGTCTCTCAGACTCTCACGCGCTCCTGTCATGCGCCCGGCTGCCTGCAGCTCGTGCGGCCGCACCTCCACTCGGTGAGCCCGTCTCGGTCTCCGGCGCTGCTCAAGAACGCCGTCCGCGGACCGTGGACGCCCTGGCATGTGGCCGCGGCGCTCTTTGCTTCCCACGCGTTCCTTCCGGCGGGACGGCGCGGCGTGTCAGGACGGCGCTAATCGCTCTGAGGCATCTGATCGTCCCTACTCTGCGGTGGGCCAGATGTGTCCACCGTGATTGATGCCGTGATGGGACACACTCGACTGTATCTCGTCTACCTTAAGACGGTCGGCCGACGTCTAAATCTAGGTTGGTCTCGCAAGGTAACACCGTGAAAGAGCAATCCAATTATGGAGGCAAATCAGCTTAACGTGGCGTTATTGGATTCAATCAGCTTACGGCCGCCAAACTATTGCAGACATAGTCGCGTAACACCAAGCTCGTGATGATGGGTTACGAGTCAACGACGGCGTCGGGACATCCCGAAACCTTCCGTCCTTGCAACCATCGGTACCGACATGGCATGATGATGATGACGACAGAAAAATACCTCACCGAGCTTTAATATGTAACAATATGTATGTTAATATGTAGTGTTAACAATAGGTATTCAGGAAACTAAGCTACAAGGATCAGCCACGTGCATTGTGTGGAGTGACGTGGAGTCGGGACTGACCTGTCTGCTGATCCGAGGCTGTTGCCAGACGTGAGTGTCGTCCGACTCTCAGTCTTCAGAGGTTTCACCTTCTCCGGCATTCTGCAACATCAGTAACAACATCGTCAGTTACGGACACGTCCAACACAACTGTGCACTGAAGCATACAGGGCGCTTTATATCGAGAGAGACAATTCAATCAAGAATCACGGTCTTGCCTACATCCACGCCTGCAGGATAATCGTGACGAGAGCGGATGTTAAGAATCAAGTATCGATTCGTCACAGTTGGTATCTGCCCCCACTAACACCTGGGGGCGCATGTGCGGTGTATTTTGATGATGAGACCCGATAACGGCTACTGAGCCGTTCTAAGTTGGATATGCACTGCACAATCACCATCATAGTGCTTACGTGAATATTGGCAGTCAATTTATCCGTATGCCTCCAATCCTGAGCGCGTAATTTAAACATTTGTAGTCAGATCCAGGGACATTTGCAACATGAGAGAGCATTTCGATGCCCCAATTAAACCAGATCTTATCTGCCGCTTGCCATCAATGGCTTCGTCCGACAACTTTGTGACATTTCTGCAGGCGATGGCCTTTCCTCGAGCCTTTCATACTTTGCGTCGTCCAAAGAGACCAAAGTTGGCCAATCTGACAGCTCCGCTGCAAGGTAAGCACGATTAGCATGTAAATTGCCGCGCAGGGGGACTGATTTCAGCGTGCGAGAGCCGTATAGGATGCAGTTGTGGAGATTCTACGTAACTCCCAGCCTCAATATTAGCTACAAATCAGCTACAGAACCGTGGAAAGTGATAGGCTTCCGGCTTCAAGCATGTAAAGCATATCACTGGCAAAACTGAAGAGTGGCCAGCATAGGTCAAACAAAAGTGTCCCCCGAAGAAGATGGTCGAGTAAGAGTTCCGACGAATAAATTCAAATCAAGCAGCGACCGCTCGAGGCTCGGCTGCCGCTGGCCTCGGCTGTCTGTTCCCCAAAGTACCGAGAAGCTGTAGGTACCGGGTCACCGCCACGCTATATCCCGTTGTGGGTCACGGTGTCGCCGCACCGTGAGGTCGGCCGGTCGAGGTAGCCGATTACCACGGCCGCCGCCGCCGGCACCCCGACCAAAAACTGGTCAGCCCGGTAACGCCGCCTCACCGACCTCCTCCCTCTCTCTCTGTCGGCGGTATAGGCTTCCACTCTGCTGGACTCGAGTCTGAGTCTGATCCACGCGGCTCGGTCACGGGGTCCGCTGCGGTCAAAGACCTCCTCCAGTCAGCTGGGCGGGCGCACACCGTTTCGGCTGATTGGTGATGGCCGCGATATGATTGTGAGCCGCGAGCAGTGGAGCACCGAGCCAACACCCAGCGCCCGCCGACCTGGTTCGGATGTGCCGGCGTGACCAGGCACGCAGGCACCGCGGGGCGCGAAACAAAAAAAAAAAAAATGAAGATGCGATTAGATGCATTTCGTGCGTTCCACTAGCACCTATCTAGGATCCATTAGGTAGCACTTCGAGACACATATGGAAGCTTTTGTTGAGGAATAACATCCAAAGTGTTTGCGTCATCCCCACCAATCATCGGGGGTTATTGTTGCTAGGCGCAAAAACTGCCTGCTCAATGCTCATATCTCGCCGCTGTATATATCCTCCTCTGTGTCCCAGAGTATCAATGTCGCGCATCGATCTGTCCCTCCATTCATCCGTCGACCATCTTATATGACCTGCGAGTATCGACGGGCCGCAGGGACGGGTCGCGCCGACAATCCTCTTACCGGCTCGTCTGCGCCGGCTGCATCGCTGCCGCGCTGAGACCGGCCGACCGTTTTACGGTGAATGCAGAGCTCCAACGACGCCCCTGTCACCGGAAAATACCGCCTGAGAGTCGCCCTCGGCACTGAGCCGCTCTCGGCGATAGAAACAGCTCTCGGAGGACGCTTTGTCGGCCCGCAAAGCGCCATTGACTCGGACTTTGAGTGGAGCAGTTGAACTCGTCTCATGGGACGACCAATGAAACGGACCGCTCGGCATCATTGAAAGGCTGCAAACGGTGGAAATCTGCACTATACGAAAAACTAAACCATGGAGTTCGTACGATTTCGTCATGAGCGACCGAGATGGATTTGGATATTTGATTATTGCGGCATGGATTTCCGCGCAGAACATATATCAACCAGCAGCGGTGACGTCCATGGGTTACCCCGACTCAGACGTCACCGACACTCGAGTGGTGTCAAACTCAGCGCGAAGAATTGAATGCTCCTCCATTTAGTGGCGTTGTTCAACATGGTGCGCGCAACCGCTCCGTCGTTTTCATCCTCGAAATGTTCAAATCCGAATCGCTCTCCGCCACGCCTCACCCCCCCCCCCCCCCCTGCTCCGGGCTGGACCGGCAACTTCATAAGCGTAGGAACCATGGGTGCAAGGGTGCAGCTGCACCCACAATATTTATCCAGTGGGTGCAGACAATGTATTCTGCACCCACAATAATCTGAACCAAAAACCCCTTTTTCATCAACACTATACTTCCCATGCAGCACGGCAAATTCAGGATATGTTAACTACTATCCATCTTTCGAAGCATTTGCTACTGTGATCAGTGATGGTCTTCAAAACTTACATTTGTGCTGAAAAAAGGGAAATGGAGCATGTGATTGAACACATACCGAACCGATGGCCCACTGTCAAAAATTTTAGCCCGATATCTTCAAAAATGGCTAAGTTGGCCGCTTTTACTTTTTGCGGTAGTCAATATTGACAATATTAGCCCTCGAATGTGTGCAGCGTTTTCCAGCTTCTAATGTGTAGGGAGAGGGGGAGGGGGTCGGTCGGACCCCCTGCCGTTCGGCCCCTGATCGAGCTAGAGCTTCGCGGAAAAAAAACGAGGGTGTTGCCCGTGACGAGAGGAAGCCGATGATACCCAATTTTAAGGTCCTACTTCATTGGTTGACCTTCCAGGTCAGGTCAATATTCCAAAAGTCGGGAAAATCGGGACCTGCTAAAACTGCGTAAAGTGAAGCTGTTATCGGTTTTTTTCGGGGTGCTGATCACAAATATCTGATGGTAGTTTTGATCACAGATGATTTCTTCATGCATTTAGGCCAGATCGGGTCAGGTCAGGTCAGGTCAACCATTAGGCGTCCTACCGGCTATCCATAGTAGGTGTCAACTACCACTGACGGTGTCGTAGCATGTCACGAAAGCACTAAAACTACTTCGTAAACGTTCAAATGGATGCTAAATTCGAAATCAGCCCTAGAAATTATCAGCCCTAATTATCAGCCCTATCTTTATCAGCCCTAATTATCAGCCCTAAATTCGAAAACTACCCTAGAAACATGTAAAACTCGAAAAAGTGAACCGAGGTCATCAAAGGTCAATGACCTGACCTGACCTTCAGGTTATCTTCACACCCACCCTGATGCATGGGAAGAACATCATTTCACATGTTTGAACGTCTACAATCACAAAAAGACTGGAAACGCGCGGATAATGTGAGCTGACATACGCCAAATTGCGATTCCGGCCGAACATGGTCTCGAGAATCAGGTCACAGGTCAAAGGTCTTTTGGGTCAGTGTCATGAAATTTTTTGAGTAGGTGTAAAACTGATCAACTCGAGGGTACTAAAAGTTTCGTCGCGATCGGCCGCTTTTTGCGCGAGTTATTTGCGAACAACCATGAGGGGGGGGGGGGTTCATCCGACCCCCCTACACATGCGAGGGTCAATGCTTCCAAATGCACTTATCGGTTGGTACCTTTTCGACATGGTACACCCTCAAAGCTCGTAACTAGCCTTCGCTCGGGTGTCGCCCCCCCCCCCCCCACCTCACCGGCCATGGCTGGATTTCTGCACCCATGCACCCACAATGTTCCAGCCGTTCCTACGCCCATGGGCAACTTTGTCCCATGCGGGAAGGCTCTATAATTCCTATCACCCTTTTGTCTCTGAAATGGTCTCGTCAGACCGGCTCAAAGACAGTGCGCGCGTTACGCAAACTGGGCCAGTCCTTCCGTCATTAGTCCGTGAGAACGTACACGCTACAGGCTACGTATCTCCTAGTGACGACAAAAGACGTCACAGGGGCTATAGCATCCCCTTCCCGATCGAACTGGCATGGTATATCGCCTCCTTTCGGGCAGGGTTCGGGTCTCCGTCAGTGGCACTGAGCGACGTCAGTCATTTCTGGACTCCCCTCTCCCCACCCCTCGGCCCCGCCCCGTGCCTCTGTCGGCTCGGCCCTCTGGCACGCTCTCAAAGGTCAAAGGTCGTCAGTGATACCGTCTGTCGGCCGATGGATACCCCCAGCAAGGTGGCCTGTCGAACATTGATCCCTGGGAGAAAAGAGACGGGATGATGCTTACGTCAATCGTGGGGGAAGATACGTAAATATAAGTTACGAAACTGCCGGAAGGAGCTACGCACGATTTCGTCATGAGCGATAGCATCAACAATTCTGCCGACGACGGGATCCGTGTGTAATTTCTTCGATGTGAAAAGAATAAATATGTAAAGTAAACTAGATAGATCACAAGTAAAGGTTGGGTAAATCTAATTGAAAATGATAAATCGTGCTCAAATTAAAAATAAAACACATAATAAATGTGATCGTATGTCAAAATTCCGTCACAGTCCGAAGTTCGACGAATGTAAAAATAAAAATGTAACAAAGCCATGCCATGGAAATGGATTTAGTTGGCCCATAGTTGAATCGGTAGTTGCATGGAAGCCCGCAAACCAATTTGCTTAAACCACTCAAACTAGTCCAACCAGTCATAGTTCATGAATGCACCTTGCAATGCTGTTGCACGAGCAGGTGCCAAGCCTAGAATGATGGTACCACTGTTGCATAACAATTGAATGCAATGCATGATTGAAACGGATAGCATTTGAGTTTCATCGGAAAAATCGAAGTTCGAGGAGTTTCCCGCAATACGGCTGAGCTATACCGCCCACTGCAGGCTGATTTAAACTTCACCAAACTTTGGCAGACAAAGTCCAGCTGCAGTTGACACCGGCACATAGCCGATAAATCGGTTTTGGGAGTGGGGCACCCAATAGTGGCCCACAGAGCTGCTGCCGGCGCTGTCAAGA